ATCCCAATACAGTTTCACTCTTGTCCTGGGTACAAATGCAATGTATGTAATACTGGAGCGTGTACGGTAGTAACTACGCACAAAGTTATTAATACAAAGGATATAACATTTACTTGAGTAGTAACGGTAATGACAAATAACATTAGTTTCTAAGTAATAATATCAACAGCTAATAATAATGCCTTTTGGTAATATTATCGTAATACAGTTTCAAGTCTAGGAACCCATGCAATGTATGTTATATTGGAGTGTGTACAGGGTATGGTGTACGGTAGCGTTATTATACAAGGGATACACATTTACTGAATTAATAACGGCAATAACAAATAACATGAGTTTACAGATAAATTGAGTAATCCTAACATTTTGATAGAGCATGTAAGGTACAACCTGCATGACAATTATATACGTCGTGGGATGTTGTGCCAATTTGGACCACTACGGTAAGAATGTTTGACTAAGGTTTACACCAAATTGATAGAAAGAGAAATATATACGTTGGGCTTATACGGTAATCTGCGCAGAGTGGTCAGACGAGGAACATGACATTTACTTTGGAAAAGACGGTAAACATTCATATGTGTATTTTTAGTAATACTTTTTATAACATCATAGTCTCGGCAAATACGGTAGGTAAAATAGTCGGGTGATTGTTCAGAGTAATGATGCTAAGGTTTACGGTAGAAGATATAGCTTAGTTTAAGAGAGAATATTAAGTTTCATTAGTGATCCTATTTGGTGACTACAGTAATCTTTCATGAGGGAGCGTAATTATTTCAGGAAAAACGGTAAATAAAAGAGCAGGGTGATTGGTCCGAATAAAAATACGAAGGTACGCGGTAGGAGAAGGAGAAAGGTTGTTTTGTACTGTATATAAGTGAGTAAGGAAAGAAACCTATTGCAGTATTTAAATACTTATACATGGTGATAAAACATAAAAAATCAGAATGCGTTGTTGTTGTAGCTTATACTGAAAGCACGTACGGGAGGTAAGTCTACTCATATAACATTTGATGAGCGAACTGGTGTAAATATCAATTGATTGACCTACCTATAACATAATTATTAGTTGAGTAATTTTTTTGGTGACAGAGCTACCTGTACCCTACGCTTCAGTTCGAAAATCCTGAATGTGTATACATTGTTGAACATAGACATAGAATGGGGATATTATAGTGGATGTGGAAAAGTGGTAATGGAATATTGGTTTTGTACATAAATACATATAACTGGAGGCGCCCACGACGCAATATGCCTAAAACATTATTGGATAGTACCTAAGTATTAAACGGTAAATACTATATTATCAGCAGGCGTTTAGAACAAGCATGTATTTGCGCATACTAGATAGAACGTTACACTTTGACAGTACTGATTCACTTATTTAAACTTAATTCTAACATTTTCGAGACAATAATAACAACCAAATAAGCATCGTAAACATAAACTAACAAGTCGTCTTACCTTGAAACAAGAGAGGAGAGAGGTGTGAGGTCCAAGGCTTATTCAAGCTAGTGTTTTTGTGACAGCTCTAATGTATGACATTATTATTTTCTCTGATGTTGTGGGTTTGAAACGATGGTATCTAGCCAATGCCGAAAACGTTTACAACGCGCAGTTTGTGGTAAGCAACTGGTGTCTGTCTGACCTACCGAGAGATGATATTAATTACTGTTTAGACCATGGTTAAACATGTGTCTGCTGCCAAGCGAATAGGTATTCACGACAGAAGAACGGAATGGAAAGATGATAATCTCAGTATTGCCGAACAAAAGTTGATTTTAATTATAGTTTGGAAGATCGTTAATAATGCGCCTGCTGGGTATAACATACTAATCAACGCTTTACCAGAGAAGAAAGTCTGTGCATGTTGGCTATAAAATACTGGTCGACGCTTAACCAGAGAAGAAAGGCTGTGTCAACACTGATGCGCAATGCTCTATCTATGATAAGTTAATTTATGGTTCTTGTAAATGAGTTTGCTGAGGGAACGCCGCTGCGTTCGACTCGTGTCGTGATAAACGAGCTGTACCGTGCCGACTGACTTGCCAATATTAGGCTTTCCGTTGTTAAGGATAATTTGTGAAAAATGAAAAAGCACGGGTATGGGGCTGACAAACCTAGAAACATAAATGGGGCGAACCGGAATTCGAACCCACAATCATTGGTTTCTGGCTGCAGAGTGAACGCGGCGCCTTAGACGACTGGGACACCCGTGTCCCCGTTGTTCCCTCAAAACGTCAAAGGTATTGTTATCAGGTGATTTCAACAACGTCAGCAACAGGTCTTTACTGTTGGGGGTGAAGCCGAATTTTCCAATAATGAAACGTCTGAAACACTACCTCTGAACACTTTACATGCCTGTATATAAATAGACCTTTGTCTAGGGACATGTAAAGAATTACAGGAATTGGAAAGGTGAGGGTCAGTAGATCAAACATAAACCAACTGCGACATGGAAATTATATTGATAAAGTGTATTGGTTGACAACATATCATTTTAGATTGTTAATGAGTTCACCGACACATAAATACAAGAAAATGTTTACGCAATGTGAGTTCTAGGACTAATTGCATATTTGCTTTATTTCACTTGGACAACATAAAACGAATCAACACAGGAATAATATCCTCGAATTGCACAAGGCCTGTTTGTGACTCAGTCTTATCAAATGTGCATAGTTACATGTGCGTTTATCAGGTTCGTATGCAGTGTCATTGACTGATTAACTTAGCGGATTTTGTTTACCATCAAGACTGTGGCAAACATACAGTCAAAGACTCGTTAATTCGACACCCGTTAATCCGACAATCGGCTTTATCCGACACTAATGATGGGAACCGATTAAATCAGTTTTTTAGACCCGTTAATCCGAAAGTCTCGCACTCCGACACACCTAATTTGCAATGAATTGCTGAACTTACTTATTAATCAGTCTCGTTAATCCGACACGGTGATCAGCGTACTCCGTGGCCATCTGCCCGCGAGTACACAGCCCCGTGTTTCGATGCGAGACGAGTCGGCGAGTAGCTGCATATTTCAACGGCTGCTACTTGCTTACCAGTAAACAATTACTGCTTTAAATAAAAAAACAGGATTCATCACATGCATAGACTACCTCAATCTCATTAAAATCGGATACAAGTTCCCGCTACCGCTGAGGACATCCCATTACAGGTCACGTCAGAACGTTTATGAGTTCCTATTTACTACGAGTAACACAGGGAATTACATTTGTATATGGGGTTGAAACACAACTTCCCCTTATCCAAATACCTAGCTCTTATAATCTCTTGTTGTTGGTTGATATATGTCTGTCATTTTATGTCAGTCAGGCGGAGTAGTTGAGATTGTGTGAGTGAGTGAATGTTGCTTCAGGTTTCATGCAGCAATATTTTACCCGATTCACGGTGGTAATCGAGTCTGGGCAGGATACATCGGTATATTGCTTAAGGCGGTATAAAACTCACTCACCTAATCTATAATGTCCCCTGTTACAACAAACTTGTTTGTTAAGGGATGTACTAGTATTCTGCCTCCGAAGTCCCCCAGGGGATGTGCACCGCGCAAAAAACACGTAAAATCCAGTGCTGCATAGTTTACCCTTGGAGTATGAGCACCATGGGTTAAAATGATATGTGATATTTACATGGCATGTTTTGGTGTCATTATACATGGGCGTTTGTGTTACATCTCATCTAAACGTATTCTGTTTATTTAATAGTTGCATTCAACTGAAAACAATCGTAGAAGCCACATATCATGGTGTGTCTTGCTCACTCTCAATTATTTTCAGGCTTCCGTGATACAGCTATTCTTAACTATGAGTTACAACAAAATGCAGTTACTCAATCACCCCAATCCCGCATAAAACATACTATTATCAATCAACCTGGATGTATCCTAGTTCTTGTGGCCAGCACATCCAGAAGATATCCCCATGCATGTGTACCTCGTCTCTCAGAGGTTTTCTTAGTTATTAATTTGTCATTATCTTTTTATTCATTGTGAATCAAAAAGGTAAATCAATGTTTTGGTATACCTAATGACGTGCGCGTGACCACGTGGCAGATACGGTGAAGACGATTGCGATAACGGGTACTGTACAGTTTGTTATATTTCCATTGTTTTCGTTCCCACTCGTCGCTGTGTAACAGATCCTCTCAAACCTTTATCCTTGAACCAAGATGAGCGCCTTTCCTCTTAGTTCAACAAAATCAATGTCGGCAGTACATTGAACTTTGAAGTTAGAATAATCCTGAACTAAAGTGGTGACGACGGCGCCATGTCATCGTCTGCTGTTTTCAAAAACGAGAACATTCAAATCGAAAGCGCCTCAGCAAGAGCGGTGTCACCATGGTTTTACAGTCTTAATCTATTTCGCACGTGCAGCACGAAGTTTCTTGTCACAACAAGACGCGTAATCAATTTTATTAACAATCTCCAAGCTGGTATGTATACTACCAAATAAGTCAGGTGCTGTATGCCCATATCAGTATATTATCATGTAAAAAACAGAAGAACATTATCACAATAATGACAATTCCGGAAAATGTTTGAATGATGTTCAAAGCATGCGCCTAGAACACTGCACACAGCTGCCGGATGAGGCCACATGGCCACGTGACATAGTGCTATTTGTTTGCCAAGCAATGTACATGTTGCTCGTTATACCGTGTTTCTGTTATAAGACGACGTATGGGAGCAGTAACTCCCTGTCATCGCCTTCAGTGTGATTATCACGCAACGTTTAAGTAAATCAAAATAGCATCCGCAAATATATCTGATGATGTAGTATCAGTTTATAATGTTGATATATTGATATGTTATATATCAAAATGCCTTCTTCAATTCTGTGATGTGACTGTTTTTATGTTACAATAATTGTAGTTGTGTAGACTGTAGTTATTTATAAATCACGAAACCATCTAAATATCATGATACACCTTAGTCATCACTGTTGGTTTATGTACATGTAAACTACATTCATATGTTGTAGGTATACATCTGAAGTATGACAAAGACAGAGTCAATCTCAAATGGGTCCACATCAACACAGAAGGAGGCCTGGTCAGCAGGAAGTCGGACACCAGACCTGCAGGGGAGGGGAAACTGAAGAAGTACCATGGCACATGTAGCACTGCCCCCCTCCCCCGGGCTGGCTGTCCCCAGTACTGGGAGGTGTTGAACAGGGTCAGTCTGGACAAACCACTCGCATGGGGGAACCTCATCCTGGAGGTGGGTGTATGCAGGGAGGAGCAGAGGGACGTGTGTCATTGTATCAATGCACTACCCAGCTCCTGCTGCATGCAGGTCTCCCACTGTACTACACACGGCGGGATATGCAGGCGGACATGGAAGGAGGGGAAGCGTGTGCTGTGTCTGCCTGACACTCTCCCCAACACAGCAGGGGCATCACACACACTACATTACGGTGTTGTCTATGATGACGCCAGGAAGAAGATTGTCTTCATTGATGTGAAGGAGAACAAAGTGATGTCGACGTTAGACAATGTAGACTCTAGTTAGCCACTGTGGCCGATGTTCGGGATGTATAACCCACATCTCCTCACTGTCAGCATGACACTTGTAGTGGGCGGCGACATCAACATGACAGAGGAGAAGAAAGCAATGATTGCCAAGGCGCTGTCGTGATGGTGACAGTGATTGTCAAGGCGCTGTCGTGATGGTGACAGTGATTGTCAAGGCGCTGTCGTGATGGTGACAATGATAGCCAAGGCGTTGTCGTGATGGTGACAATGATTGTCATGGCGTTGTCGTGATGGTGACAATGATTGTCAAGGCGCTGTCGTGATGGTGACAGTGATTGTCAAGGCGTTGTCGTGATGGTGACAGTGATTGTCAAGGCGCTGTCGTGATGGTGACAGTGATTGTCAAGGCGTTGTCGTGATGGTGACAATGGTTGTTAAGCCGTTGTCGTGATGTCGTTGCGTGAGTGAGGTGGCCATGATGGGGATGTTGAACAAACAAAGACACAGATATTTACTACTCAGAAACAACTATATGACAAACAAATAACTTATATATGACGGAAGGATTTCAGTATGAGCTGACGGTACAATATATCCTCGTGTATCCATGAAGTGGTCATGTATTCTATTCACAGTTAAAAACAACTGTCATTGAGAATTATGAATAGTTAAGATGAAACAGATAGTATTTTCCAGTTACCGACAGCTAGTCAATCTGAAGGCGACACACATCCAATGTTACAACACAAGAATGAAATAACTGAAGCGTTCGTAAAATGCACGAGATCAACAATTTTGAGAGGCAGATAGTGACAACAAAGATGAAAACAATATATTTTGACTTACTATAAATAAAAGTGAGTTAGTGAGTTGAGTTTAATGCCGCTTTTAACAAAATCCCAGTTATATCGCGTCGTGTCAGCTTAATGTGGGAGGAAAGCCCGAAGTGATGCAGGTCTCAGACGTTTACCACTTCGGTGAAACCCACGAGCTCGGGTACGGTGCTGACAAACCTAGAAACATATGCATAATCGGGGCGAACCAGGATTCGAACCCACAATCAGAGGTTTCTGGCGTGCCCAAGGGACGCAACTCTGCACAGCGAATAGCGGCGTCTTAGACGACTGGGCCACCCGTGCCCCCTATAAATAAAAGACGATTGGGGGATCCAAATTTGGTATCCTATGTACGCATTTATTATTATTATTATTTGGCATGGTTGCGCTTTGAATAATAATGTTGACACTTTTTGCTTGTTTAGTACAAGCGACAATGTCTCTTACAAGATTTCAAAGGTGACAAAGACATGTATTTGGAACATTCAAACAGAAATGTTAAGACATTTATCAACAAGACTGATTCAATAAAATACGAGTCAAAATGTTTACATTATTATTCAATGATTCAATGTATTTTTGCACCCGTGATATATATTGTATGAATTAAATCAATACAGCTACATCGAATGTTGATCTCTTAAAGATGTAATGTACGTGATCGCTACACATGAGCAGCAAGACTTTCTAAAATTCCCCTGAGATTGATACACAGCCTGTTTATGTAATTCACGTTTTATCAATATGCTCTGAATTGAACATATATATCAATACTTTGGTAATGAATCATCTCATGAAAGGTATGATCTACTCCTTATTAATGTGGAAATAATATTTTAGCTGAAGAGGAAAACGGCTTCAGAAAAAAGGCGCTGTTTGGATCACCTCTACAGCATTTGTACAATAATCAAAAATAGAAAACAATCAAAATTATCAACATTTTGCTGTTTTATTGACATAAAAAAGGCGTTCGATAATGTAAACAGAGATTGTTCATGGTTTAAAATATTAAAAAATGGCATAAATGGAAAAATGTTTGAAGCTGTTAAAAGTTTATACAGCAATGTGAAGTGCGATGTGAGAGGATGCTTTGTCTCTCCATTATTGTTCTCTATTTACATTAAAGACCTGGCGGACAATATAAAAAGCATGAACTGTGGTGTTGACGTAAATGATTTAAATATTGGTATTATGTTATATGCTGATGCTATTTTATTATTGGCGCCCACGGAGGACAAACTGCAAAATTTGTTAAACGTGGTTAATGAATGGCGTCAAAAGTGGAGACTTACAGTTAATCCTACAAAAACTAAGATTGTTCAGTTTAGGTCCAACAATACAAATTGCTCCACAACCAACTTTTCAATTGGAGAAACTCTTTTGAAGTGTAGTAACAATTATAAATATATTGGTTTGTGGCTCAACGAACACATGGACTTTAAGTTCACAATTAATGAACTGACTAAATCGGCAAACCGAGCTTTTGGTGTTTTATGTACAAAATATTTTGATGCTGGTGGTTTTACTTATGCAATATACACTAAATTGTATGAATCCTTGGTTCAGCCTTTTATGCAATATGGTGCTTCAATCTGGGGGTTGTATGAACATTAAAAGTTAAAGCAAAACAAAGCATGTAATTTTTTTCTCGGCCTTAGACGTAATGCGTCAAATGTCGCCGCCAGGGGAGACATGGGTTTGAAAATCATGTGTCACTAAGCAACGCATAGAAGTATTTCGTTTATTCTTCCGCCTTAACAGTATGGAAATTACACGATTGCCCCGTGTCATTCATGCTTGGTCAAGTAAAAGAGGGCGCTCATGGGGAAAAGGAGGTTTACAAGCTAGCTAGAAACTTAAATGTCGTCGACTTGATCGACGTCCATTCGATGACACGTGGTTAGTTCACTCTCATTATGCAAAAATTATTTCAAGTGGATGAAACTGCTTGGTTTTCAGAGCTGTGGAATGATGCTAATAACCCTAATGGTAATAAGCTGAGGACCTATAGATTACTTAAGACGGATCTAGCGCCTGAGCCCTATGTCTTATCAAATTATATCCATAGAAACAATAGAAAATATTTGGCAATTTTACGCAGTGGCAGCCTCCCGATTAACAATGAAAAAAAAGGTACAGTCGTCCCCCTGTCCCCCTTCAAGATAGAACTTGCCCTTTTTGTTTTAACTCAGTAGAGACTGAGGTCCACTTCTTAATTGATTGTAACACGGATGATGATTTACGTTATGATGTAATGAACGCTATGTGTGAATGTATGCCAGATTTCAAAAACTTATCTTCAACCGAGAAATTTATAACATTACTCAGATGTGAACACGGGTGTTATACTCTTTGTAAGCTAATTGATCAAATGTTCCAAAGACGCTTGTCACTCATTTGTTTCTGTGTGCGCTTTTCTGCATGTATGTCATAATGCTTGTGAATTGTAGTATTTCTTCTTGTGATCAATGTTATACTTGTAATGTTTATGTTGAGTGTCGGTGAAGATAAATGCACCCCTGTATTGTGTGTGTGTGTGTGTGTGTGGGAGGGTGTGTGTGTGTGTGTGTGTGGGGGGGGGGGGGGGGGGGTTATAATGTACGTATGGTGTGTGTGTGGGCGTGTGTGTGGTATAATGTACGTATGGTATGTGTGTGTGCGTGCATGTGTGCGTGTGTGCGTGTACTTGTGCGTGTGTGTGTGCGTGTGTGCGTGGTATGGTGTGGGGTGGGTGGGTATCTACGTGTTTGTGTATGATTGCGTGCGTGACTTTATAAGTTATTTGGCGTGTGTGTGTGCGTGTGCGTGCGAGCGTGCGTGTTCATAACCCAACCTTAATTTTAAACATTGTGTTAGTTTATGTTTTATTTTACCTTATCCAGATCATGGCGTTATAATTTGCTTTTATGTCTAAGTGTCTCGTAGGCCATACCTGGTCGGATGTTATATTTTATTGTTCGTGTACGTGTTTTAGTATGAAGTGTATATAACATGTGATACTATAATAAACATTATTCTCGCTCTCTCCCCTCATCTTTATGCCTTTCAAAGACTTCTTAAACACAATTTTCAGTATTAAGAACCAGTCAGGTGTGATATAATGCAACATACCCCATAGCACATTTCTGTCCTTTCTCAATTTGTCTCTTGTATACGGCCAGGGCATTGTCCAATTCTGTACATTTCTCCTTGCGCACCTGTCTATTGCCACCACCGCTTAGCTGCATCACAGTTCACTTTTCAGATGGGATGGGAGCCGGCACTCTGAAGACTTAGTTTCCCATGCCACCCCTTGACATGATTAGTTGCACCTGGACCAACGGTGCCGTAGTGGTTCCACAAACTGCGACCATGGTCACCTTCCTTTCCAAAACGTATTGTTTCTGTTAGCTGTACTGTTGTGCCATATATTTCACATAGGGCTAAGAGATTATATGAAATGCTTTGTTGTAAACCCGTCATCATTCTCAATGTCAAGGTTCATTGTCAACTACATGTATGTCTACTGTTAATGTGTATATGTTGTACTTTTGTCCAATTATCCTTATATACTAATAAGATGTCTATATATATATATATACTGTGATCCTATCAGTTACTGATCAGTGAATATCTTTATATGATATAACTGCTGTCTCTTAACTTTGCACACAAAAAGCCGCGTCCATGTTGTAGTTGATAGAGAGAGGGGGCAGTGTTTCGATCCCCTGACCACGTCATACCAAAAGACATTACATGATGGTATTTCTTGTTACCCTGCCTGGAGCGCGACATTAAGTGTGCTAGCACTACAAAAACAGCGCATCCGCACACATACAAGCAGCCAGACACGTGCATGCAACAATCATGATCTCATTCTCACCTTACCATGTTGTGTTTCAATAACTCAATTAACCTATCGATACATGAGTCAAAACTTTTAGCGCTAGGATGTACCGGCCAGAATGGACAAACCAAGGACTGGTCGGCTCGGGGTCTATACTGTGTCTGAGTGGGGTGTCCATGTTAAACTGCGGCATGGTATCTCAGTAGGCTAACACTATAAAACTGACATGATATAAGTATGGACTGGTACAAACAGCCACACATGTGTAATCCTTATTTGGTAATAAACAGACAAGTCACCTTTACTTCTGTGAAAAACACAAAATGGAGAGGCGGAATTTTAGTTTGAAATCAAACACAATCTAAAATCTGAGTGAAGCCTATTGCCCGAATGAATTCTTAACTCGATTGTGTAAGTTGAATGCTTCTTGCCATCAACATGTGATGGATGAGGATATGATCATAGTTATATTTTGTTGGGTGAAGTACACTTGGGTTTTCACGTCATGTATTATTATTTTGCATTTTGTTTCATGCAGTATGTTATGTTAGAAGTGACTGGCTTGACGAATGTCTATGTGTAGTAATATGGTAGTTACACACTT